ACTGCTGGCCGGCTAACAGGCGTCACAAGTACAGTATGGACCCATAACACGAGCCTGCATGTGTGTGTGCCCACAAGAGACTTACACTTACACACACTACATCACTATCCTCAACCAGCGTTCCATGACTAACGTGGCTCCAGAGATTATGATTTATATCTCCGATTAGTCAAACTCTTCAAAATGAGTGCTATACAGGATGAATTATCCTGACTAATGTGGACAAATTTTAATCCCTGGCGTTTGTATGCTTGGTTAGACGAAACTGGTTTGGAAAAACCGAACATGAAATTCGTAGATAGAAAGATACGTCAGCAACAAAACCACTTAAAAACAAACTGAAAAAAAACTATGGCATTATAAATCACCCTTTTCATAAATGGGGATGCATAGGACGCGATCAATATCAACCGCTAACGATTCTGGAAACCAAAGTAAAGGGTACCCTGAAATTCTGAGATGTGAGATGGACATTCTTATTCTGATTGGGTCTAAACAGTTGTAGACGTGTAAACAGTTGTAGTTAAATTTAATTGCAAACTACGGATAAACTCAGTTGCTTATTATGTTATCTTCATTAGTATTAGCAACGTTTATTCCTTCTCTGACCATTGTGGTAAAATAGAAGCGATTACGAATGTAATGAAGAATCTAATAATGAATAGCTTAAGACTTAATTATAGTTAGTTAACTTGTCTTACTACAAATTATCTGCAAGAATGTAAAGTAAATATTCATACGGTTGATAAACACAAGGACTAGAGAATCATCGTATTCAAGGCCAATAATAGAACTTATTCAAGGTAAGCAGGCATCATATTGCGTGTGGATCTCATTACCAGGCCAGCAACCAGTTAGACTCAAACGACTGTTTAAATTTAAAATATGCATTCAGAAGAAGGAATTGAGACATTGCTACGTAAAACGTAGCCTACACGAGAACATAGAATGATTCTCACTCAACATAGTCCTTCCTGATGACTCTACACACCTTACAAACGACCGTCGCTGCACTCTGGAGAGATGGAGACATTGCAATGTGCAACGTAGTCTTCACGAGGACATAGAATGCTTCTCACTCAACATAGTCCTTCCTGATGACTCTACACACCTTACAAACGACCGTCGCTGCACTCTGGAGAGATGGAGACATTGCAATGTGCAACGTAGTCTTCACGAGGACATAGAATGCTTCTCACTCAACATAGTCCTTCCTGATGACTCTACACACCTTACAAACGACCGTCGCTGCACTCTGGAGAGATGGAGACATTGCAATGTGCAACGTAGTCTTCACGAGGACATAGAATGCTTCTCACTCAACATAGTCCTTCCTGATGACTCTACACACCTTACAAACGACCGTCGCTGCACTCTGGAGAGATGGAGACATTGCAATGTGCAACGTAGTCTTCACGAGGACATAGAATGCTTCTCACTCAACGTAGTCCTTCCTGATGACTCTACACACCTTACAAACGACCGTCGCTGCACTCTGGAGAGATGGAGACATTGCAATGTGCAACGTAGTCTTCACGAGGACATAGAATGCCTCTTACTCAACGTGATCCTTCCTGATGACTCTACACACCTTACAAACGACCGTCGCTGCTCTCTGGAGAGATGGAGACATTGCAATGTGCAACGTAGTCTTCACGATGACATAGAATGCCTCTTACTCAACGTGATCCTTCCTGATGACTCTACACACCTTACAAACGACCGTCGCTGCTCTCTGGAGAGATGGAGACATTGCAATGTGCAACGTAGTCTTCACGAGGACATAGAATGATTCTCACTCAACATAGTCCTTCCTGATGACTCTACACACCTTACAAACGACCGTCGCTGCTCTCTGGAGAGATGGAGACATTGCAATGTGCAACGTAGTCTTCACGAGGACATAGAATGATTCTCACTCAACATAGTCCTTCCTGATGACTCTACACACCTTACAAACGACAGTCCTGCACTCTGGAGGGATGGAGACATTGCAATGTCACGTGAGGATAATAGGACCAATCAGTGAGTGCTGCGGTTAGCATACGAATGCCGGTGTTTAGCGTAATGAGCTGGCTGTATAGCGTACATTAGCATAGAAGAGGCAACAGGTACGGGTCCAGTTTGACGTTTACCGATCCATTTACAGTATAGTTCGTGAAGACTTAACTTTTTGCTTATTTTTCCCGTAGATTTTGTATTTCTGTCCGTTTGGCAGCGTATGAGTAATTTACTAAAATAGACACAACGTATGTCTGAACGTCATATTTTTACCTTTATTTAATTGGAAAACCCGATTTGGAAATAAAGGAGAATGTTCATGGTAGCTTATTTCTACATTGCGGAAGGGTTCACTGCAATGTTTATACCCAAGTTAGTCAATGATAATATTATGTAGGTCTAATCTTATTTCAAAAACATTTTCATTATACTGTAGTGTAGTAGTTTTAACATTGTATAAGATATTTCAATTTTAAAATATACTCACAATCACAATGATTTTCATTTGATATTAACTCGTATATGCAATTTCTTGTACCTGTAATCTGTACTTTCGGAACAGAGTGATCTTTGCAGATTATCTTAAATTTTGTACAGGAAATAATTAATTTATTATTTACTAATTTAATTGACTTATTCATGTAGAATATTATAACTTGTATTTTTCAGAGCTCGCAACCAATGCAGATTGACCAGCTTTGCAGTAGATAATTTAATCATTAAAAAAACTTCAACACAAAACTTCAAAAACGTCAAATTTACACTTTAATAGGTAAAATATTCTGGTATCCAGGCCTATAGATCTCACTAATCTTACCTCTAACCACATGTGAAACCACTCGGCGGGTGGTTATAAAACACTCGATATTTCCTGCTAATATACTCAACAATATTTTGGATCGCCCAATCCCTAAAAAATCTCTTAATGCATAATTTAGCTAACCTCCTTTGGCAGCCCACGTTCATACACTTTTTTGCACTTGTTCTGCCCAACTGGTTCATATAGTTGTATAGTACGAGGTCAGGGGCTAGTTTACGCATTCCTATCCTATCTAATATTTACCAGTTAATGCCCACCCACTTGACGCATGTAGGCGAGCATCCGCTCCTGTATCTACTCGGTTTACGATCAGTTTATCGGCAAACAATTAGCAATTACAATGAGACGCGACCTTGGTTGGACCAGTTTGATCACAAGAGTAAAAACTTGATTGCTTTGCAAATTTCAATTTTCCAGATTGATTACGTTCAGCTGATGAACAGGTTTGAGTACTGAGCTAGAGGAAAAAGTGACGCGTAACTGAGGAAAAGTTCCTTATTGAACTGTATCATCGTCTTGTAAATTGTGAAACAATATGGCTGAGATAAATGCATTTGGAATACTTCAGTAGTTTTTATACCACTCGTATTTATTATTAATCGTAATCGATAACGATTGGGGGAGCGAGCTGATCTAGTGGTTAGAGCGCGGGACTCCGATTCCAGGGGTCCCGGGTTCAAATCCTGCCAAATAACCAATGGATTTTATCTAAGTGATAATGCCGTAACCCCTAGGTCTAGCCTGAAGTACTGTAATGTGAAAAACGATTCCGGGCTCGTGCCTAGCGTCCTAGGGGGAAAATCGATAACGATTAATTTTGTTTGTAGGTTAACCTATGTCTAAGCTATCATCATATAGGATGAAGATTCAACCACGTAATTTAAACCTTGGTTTCAAAAATTATAGTATTAGTATATATTTAAAAAATTATGTTTCGGATAATGTAGATGCTTAAGAAATTGACACATTCGTTAACACACTAAACCTACGGTTTACATAGAAACTGCAGTTTTTCAAAGTTATTGATATACTATCGACTTCTTAGTACAACAATTTCAATCAAAACGGGGTCCCATCACTTTTAAACCCGTTAGATTTAAAAGGTGGATTGTTTTTTTCTAGTGGGGCCTTGATTAGTCAGACATATAGTCAAAGAAATGCTAATTGAAGTCTTAATTAATTTTATCATTAATGTAATTTTATGTTTTGTTTTTTTACAATTCAGGCATTTTTATGAAAACAGATGATCAAACGGACGCTGAATTTTTTCTCAATAATCCTATTGATAATTCAGCTATTTACGTAGGAAGGAATATGATATTGCGACACACTTTTACCATTTCCTTTACTGTTATTCCAAACACGATGACAATTTTGACAATAAAATATAATTATTCTATTAACTTCTTTCTGCAGAGTATTTTGGCAAAGGGAATAATTATAGTTTTTTCTGCTAATATCTACAAATTGTAACTCATAAGAAATACTAGACAAGAAGATTAACTATAATATTGTTTAAGAAAGTTTAGCTCCACCAATCTCAGCCTCTTCCAATAGGAGACTACTGTTCAAGTAACTACCAACTATACCTATAACTATCATATTAGAATACGTATTACAATAATACGTAACCACTGTAACCATAACACGAGAATATGGATTATGTAATTAGAGAGTTAGTAAAATACTAAAACAATAATAAATAAATATAGAACAGATCAAAACATAAACTACCTACGTCTTACAACGGCAGAAACATCCTTAAAATAATCTTCAGCTGAATTACGAAAATGGCTAATCCGTGGGGGAGTATGGTTAGTTATTATTTAGCTAAACAAGTTCAGTACTAATTTTGTCACCAAGCACTGTGCTTTAGCCGAGTGCCAGCCACAAAACACCTCAAGAATGCATACACACATTTGATACATCTTTTTTACGTTCTATAACAAAACGTTAATATGTTAATGTTACCGATGACATTTCGAGGTTTTCCTTAATTCGAGGTGTTACTTTAAGGTCTGTAAACTTTGTGATGCCATGCTACTCTTTCACTATGAATAAATTTCCTTTATTTTAATACAAACCGCAATATAAACTTTCAAATAAACAAAGTAAACTGAAGTTGAATTGTTTGACACGTAAAATATTCTTTTCTAAAAGAACCAACGTCCGAACTTACCCTCCAACAGGGCCGGTGATCTGCGGTGGTGCCTCTGGTCTAGTGGCAGGATCTGGATCAGCAAAACCCCCAGCGACCAGGATAGCCAGGACTACGATGTTCACAGCCATTCTATACACGTCCTACACGACTGCTATCATTGTAACATCAATGTATTGTAACGAGTATACTACACACGAACAAAGTTGTTCCGGTTATGTAATATACATCGTTATAATCTTCGGGGGAAAATATAAAAAATACTAAAATTTATGGAAATCGTAAAAAATCAGTTAAGATGTTCGAGGCGATATGGAGATGCGAGCGCGGCGGAGTCGACGGCGCGAATGACCCGCGGCACGGCGGGAGAACAGAACAGCTGATCGGACGTTTCAACTAACCAGCTGACTGATAACAGTGTCATGTAGATGCGCGGCCACCCATAATCATCTCTATTTATATCCGGCTCTCCTGCAGTAAGAAAATATATGGCCACGTCAAAAAAATATGCAGGCACTTCATTGATTGTTAAAAAGATTAAATTCTAGTATTTGGGGTTTACGTTTTTGCAATTGTAAGTTTTAAATTTGATTGAACGGTTTTGATCTAATAAAATGTATGCAACTAAATAGATCGTTCAGTAAGTATCATAGGAAATTAAAATGAGTTCGGCCAAGCGGACCAAAACGTTAAATAGATTCTTGAATTTAATATGTCTACTTTGTGTTGTGAGAATAAGACTAAATTACCTGAATGTAGGCTTCAATTTTACTAAAATAAAGCAGTAAACATCCTTGGACTCCTCTAGATGTGTCTTTTGCGGGTTCGGATGATATTTCTCGTGAAAGCCCTTCGTCCTACAGGCTTTTAAAATGTCAGAGTCTGGCTGAATTCTGTTGTCAATCATCTGAAAATGTTGTTCAAAAGTTTATTGCGGAAATTTTCCATCACGATTGTAAAAAAACAATACACAACGTTTCGGGATCTGGAATTTGATCCCGTCCTGAGGTGAAAAAACTTAACTAACACATTACAACTAACAATACACAAACGCCCAACCTAAGTTGGAATACACTACAGAAGGTAGCAGTCAAAAATATGCACTGTAGCAGTGTAGCAGTGTATATTTTTGACTGCTACCTTCTGTAGTATATTCCAACTTAGGTTGGGCGTTTGTGTATTGTTAGTTGTAATGTGTTAGTTACGTTTTTTTCACCTGAGGAGGGGTCAGATTCCAGATACCGAAACGTTGTGTATTGTTTTTTTTTTACAATCGTGATGGAAAATGTCCGCAATAAACTTTTGAACAACATTAACTCACCATCACCAACGATGACTTCAAACAAAGCATCTGAAAATGTTATGTCTGAACTGTTGTGTCAAGTTTACATTTGTTTACATAAAAACAAATGGCCGTAATACAATTCTGTTTGGATCCATACGAAAATGGAATTATCTGTAGTTGGTTATGTTTCGGTGAATTCAAGTAAAATAGTGTAATGCTATTTTGTATAAAATATAAAAAAAGAAATTTACAGTACTTACGATGGATTTTGTGTTGTGATAGGGTTTAGTGTTTTCATGCCTCGAAGACCACGCAGTGCAAATGATAGGGATATGATGAGAAATAATCATTTTCACCCTTATCAACATATGACGGATTTTGAAGTGACAAAGTGACGCAGGCTGCTAGTACTCCCATAAGTTTCTTTGTTTTAATGTCTTAGCCTTGAAATTACTACTTGATACAATACAATGATATTCGTTAAAACTACCGTATCCTGTGGTAGCCGACTACAACCGAGGTGTAAAACAATTGTGTATGTCAAACAATACGAATATTTTTGGTTACTGAACATTTTCGAAACGCAAATTTACGCATGCTTTTGGACTAAAGTACGGTACTATAATTTACTGACATATTTTCTAATACTTTTATTATATTCACGTTATAGCTTAGCTAAATACAACTATATTGCAATAACGTTTGTATATGTCCAGTAATGCTAATGTGCTATGCTTTCTTTTATTTACTTCTCATCCTTTTACCAGCTTTAAACTATTACGATCAAATAGAGGATCTACACACTGTTTCTTTTCCTTTGATGTTATAACCCAATAATAAAGCCCTCACGGCAATGTTAATGATGAAGTAAGATACAAATATTTACTCTACATGAGCACACTCCAGCCTTTAACCGGTCGTGAAACTCGCATCAAAACAGGCTTCAATTCCGGGAGGCAATCAGTATCTTAATGTTGAGTGACGGGCCCCTCCCCCTACTTGGATTCATTTAGACCGTGGAATGATCTAGGTGATCAATCTGTATTAGATCATTTAAATGCGGCATTTAAAAACTGATTGCGGCCTCTGATTGCTTCTTAAAATAATGATTTTTAGATAATTTTTACTTGGTGTTCCAGGATCAAACGAACGACCTTGTGAATGTTGGGTGGGAAATACAACCACCCAGATACTCATAGCTTGTTGTAGATAAACAGATAGATTTAACATGACGAGTTTCCGTTGGTCCGTTGCTCCAGCAGGTTCCCGACTCCCGACTCCCGGCGTGGACCGGTGGACCTGCACCTCCCACACTCCGCCTCTGCACTCTGCCGCTCGTTTCGCTCAACCGGTTTTGCACCATTCGATCCGCGTCATCAAATAGGCATTCTTACCTATCCCGCTTTATCCATTTCCTTTTTATCGCTAGAGTTTATTTGATTCGGTTTACGATTGAACAGAATGAGCGAATTGATTACCGAGTTGGCGGAGTTGGCCATGTCACCTGGCTTCCGCAAGCTGCAACTTGTGGGAACACAAATGTGGTAACGGGGTGTGGAACAATGTATAATGGATCGTGAATACTACAACAAGACTTCTGTACTGTAATGTCTCATCTCATTGTTAATATTATCACGTCATAAAAGTTGTCATATACCTTTGAAGAATTGTCGGTCTTTTTAATTATAACAAAAATAAAGGTTTCTCCCAAAAGAGTAAGAACAAATATTGTCAATTTACTGTACTGCACCCCATGAGTTATAAGCTTACTGCGCTACCTTTTGCAATGCGCTTATGGTACAAAATGTGCGGACGAAGACTTCTTTTGTTGATACAAAACAACTTTAGCACGAAGATCCAGGTGTTATTTTTGTTTTAAGGGAAATGGTTAATGCACGAACCCAGGCGGGAACTGTGTGGGACTTATAGCACTTACCTCGCATCGAAACATCACCTTCAAAACGTTATCCGCAGGTATCTTTGCAGAGGTGATCTGAAGGAAGCCTTCTAACGTTGTTTTCATACTGAAATAAGATCATGACTAATATAATAATTACCAAAATAACGCACCCTGCTTAAAATACTCACCTTACCGTGTAAGATTCATACAAATATACACGATGATATCTGAAGTGACAGGTCTCACATCAGCTGAATTATGGTGTGGTCACTCCCCACCCTCGGGGGAATAAGACCCTTCCTTTTCTTTCATGATGTTTTAGTGGGTGATGAGCTGTTAGTGGGTGATCACAACTGTTCTGGGGCTCGGTCTTCTCCAGCCTAGCAGAACACACACCTCGGCCTTCGCGACTAACTCATCCAGGAGGTCCAGCATTGCCTCACGCTGTAATGGTTGTACAGTAATAACAATGCGTGACGTGATAGATCTGGTATTCAGTGACAGTACTTGTGTTTTGACAGTTCACTTAGCATAACAAGGCCCGGGTCTCCAAAATGATGGGAGCGCCGCTGCGGACCCTCAAAACTAGGAATACCGACGGGGACATGTCATCGTTCAAGGTAGAGCTACTTGTAAAACTAGTGGTTTTGGAAATAGTAACAATTGTTTTTCTTTCGCTAGACAACGTTTCGGAAACGAAATATGTTGTTTCATTATTCGTTCGTGACTTTTCTATTGGAAATTAGGTAAGGTGACATACCAGTGTCTCAGGTAATCTGCTAGGAAAACCCGTCTCATTAATCTTAATATAGGCTATTAAAAACTTTTGCAAAACTTATGCTAGCTAGCCTGACCATACTACTGGTCACCGAATTGCACGCGGTTGGTACCAAATGAAAGGTTATCGGTCCTATATGTGCAGGTTTTATTTGTATTTTGTAAATATTTATGTTAATTGGGTCAAAAATGGAAATAAACTTTTCTTATGGAGATTTAACATGGGTCGAAATGTTTAAGCTTTCGACAGCCACCCTGACCATACTATTAGACCGATTTACACGCGGGTTGTACCAAAAGGAAGGTTATCGGTCTTAAATGTGCAGGTTTTATTTTTATTTTGAAAATATTTATGTTAATTGGGTCAAATATGTAAATTCAACTTGTCTTATGGAGATTTAACATGGGACTAATTCTATATATTAACTAGCTGACCCGGCGAACTTCGTATCGCCTAAGTTATAGGTTTCCCCTAAGACAGACCGATGCAAAGAAAGTACCGTTACGTTTAATTTTCAAGATGATCTCGTTCGCATCGCTCAATCACGTCCTGGTTGAAGTTCGTTCGCTACGCTCACTCACCTTTGGGTTGGAGCTCGTTCGCTACGCTCACTCACCTTTAGGTTGGAGCTCGTTCGCTGCGCTCACTTGCCTTCAGGTTAGCTCGTTCGCTACGCTAACTCGCCTCCAGGTTGAAGTTCGTTCGCTACGCTCACTCACCTTTTGGTTGCAAATTAGCTGTTGTCATAAATGTAAAAGAAATAATAGTGCTGCACCCTGTTGGTAATCCTTGTAACTTTAATGCTATTAAACATCATAGAACAGAACCAACTTGTTTAATTGAAACAGCTGTTAAGATTCATTAATTCCATTTCTCATAAGGTTAACATGGGAAACTCCAGAGCCACTGGGGCGGAGCCCTTTTAAGAATTTCGAAACGGGAAATAGTTTACGTCCGATTCGCATACCTACAGAATTTACACACCAAATTTCATAACGATCGGTGAAGTCGTTCCGGAGGAGTTTGCAGACAAACACTGTGACACGAGAATTTTATATATTAGAAGAAAGATATGCAAGCATGTTTCTTTAAAACCTTTTTTCTCAGCTTGTGTGCATCGCAGGTAAATCTACTGTATGCATACTGTTAGAAAGATATTTGCTCGTAGATGTGTAGAATCAAAAATAAGGTTCAAAATTAACATGGGCCTTATGGGTTGCCATGTTGGTGACGAAATAACAACAAAATATAAACAGAAAATCAAATAAATGGAAGAAATTACAATCACATGTCTTATTTACAGCGTGGAGTGAAAATAGAGAAGTTTGCACTATACATCTTTTGAT